AAAAAAATCATGTAGATTGCTCAATTTTCTCAAAATGAGATTATTGATTAGTTTTTTATATATTTTCAAACTATTCTCTGGTTATTAGCTTTAAAGTGTATAGAAAATATATATATATCAAATTGATTTTGGGGTATTTATGCCATAAAGAATAAACTCACAAGATAAGCATAGCATATATTAAATTACACCCGGCGAGTTGTGATTAATATATCGGACCTTGTCTGCACATTTTGTACATTGCGAATAAATAAAAATCAGATTATATATTAGTTTGCAAAGAGAAGATGAAATTCGTAATTTTCAATGTGGATGAAGTAAAGCCCTCGAAAAAAGTGATAGCGAGTGATATAAATAAGTTAACGTCACATATACGCATTTTTTATTACAAGAACACGATAAGGAAAGATAACACATTATGATATTCAACCTGGCGAGCTTCGCTAGCTCGTACTAAACCTAAAAGGAAAACGCTTTAATAATTAGCGTGTATTTACGTATCTAATTTTAGAAGATAATATGTTATATACACAAAGTCGATGCCTTCATGTGCATGGATTGACTAAAGTTACTTCTTCGCAGACTTTGTCACCTGAAGTGAAAGGATTATCACACAATTTATCGCATGGGGTTCCGGGGCTCACAAAGACGCGGTGCTCGTTGCCTGCAGGCAGATTTAGACGCCAATGGATGGCCTTTTGGTCATTATCAGCATTCGCCTTGAACCCAGGACGGCAAACGCACTAAAAAAAGGTAGGATAAATCAATAATCGAAGTTGGAATCAATCAACGACTTGAGGAAGAAAATACTACTCACCATGGCACCTTGATCAGGCGTTACAAAGCAACTAGTAGTTGCATCGCATTTGTTAAAAGGAGGGTTGGGGTTACACTTAACACACAGAGGTTCGCGCTTGCAGGTGGAGCTGCATCCGTCGCCATTACGTTTATTTCCGTCATCACATTCTTCAATCGGAGAATCAACGATGCCGTTTCCACATTTGAACTTGCAGGAGCTATCACATTTATTGGATCCAAAAGGTCCATCATCACATTCTTCGTTAGGGGAGTCTACAACCCCATTACCACAACGGAACTTGCAGTTTGCGTCACAAAATTCTGAACCGCTGGGTCCATCATCACACTGTTCACCAAAATCAACACGAAAATTGCCACAGACCTCTCGGCGACACTGTCGATCACAACCATCGCCAGAATTCAAGTTGCCATCATCACACTCCTCACTGCCTTCGCGTATGCCATCACCGCAAATAACACAAGAAAGACCGTATAAATCACACACGCGTCTATAGTCCAGCGGGCTCGGATTGGGACCTCTACGAATACTGTTTCTGGAATTTATCGGACTCAGAGTAGTCAAGGTTATGCCAGAGGCATCTACTTGGCCAAAAGCAGTGCTGAAATAATGCATCAAAGAACTAAAATCATACATTCCGGAAGAGTCTTGATTATTTTTTTTGACAAAGTTGCATTCCCGGGAACAACAATTGCTTGCTGTGATTACGAATGCTGGCACTCGGACGGGACAGGGATTTGTACTTGCATCCAGTCCGCCCTTAATGTTCTCAGAAAAAATTCGGATAAAACTGTCACGATCCTTGCGTTGGTGTTCATGCCACAAACCTAAAGCATGACCAAACTCATGAGTCGCATTGTCCTCATTACAACCAGGCTGAAGATTCATACTACTCTTGCGGTTGTTTACCCATCCAATGTGGCAATTGCATCCACCATCGACTATATTGCTGATCTCAATGAAAGCTCCAGTGGCACTAGAAACCTTCACAAACCGGAGGCCAGAAATGACGCTCGTCCACCTCCTGATTGCCTCCGTGACAATGGCATCCAAAGCAGTCTCGGCAGCTTCGTTAACGTATTTGTAAGGGATGAAGGCACCTGGCCATGGCCGCTCTGTCCCAGTAGTAGCAAAAATGGAGTGAGCTCTCTTGCTGATTTGAATATTATTGTTGGCAGCAGCAGCCGCAGCAAGGAGTTCTGAAAGTGTGCCATAGACAATATCGCCTTCAACCACAGCATTGTTGTCAGGAGTGACATAGTATGCCACATTACGGAGACCGTACCCATCAAGGATTCGAATGGTTTTGACTGTTGCATTGAGGGGTTCGTCAAAGATAACAGAAGGGTTTGGCGGATAGGTAAAGTTGGTTGGTAGAGCATTTAAAAGCTCCGCCATGACGAAGACAGACAAAATGAGTAGAATTGAATTGAACCGATTTATCATTGTTGAGACGTTATTCTTTCTCGTTTTTCTACTTCAGCCTTAATGACTGCTTTTGAGTGTTTGGGGGGCAAGATCTTTTATTCTCAAAGACAAGCATCGGATCGTTGTTGTTGTTGACCAATTTCAGTATGTACTTCGCCACTAACCCGCTTATTGAATCGTCAATGGTTCTTCAATAAGATCGGTATGAGATACACAGCCAAAATAGAAATTTTGCGTACCTGCAATACGGCGCAATGCTTAATCAACTAGCTTGGCCAAATGTTTTGATATCTAATTCTTGTTGACCCAAGTTTCAACAGAGTAAGCGAGAGCATTCATCTGATTGTAACAATGTGATTTGATTGTTACTGGAAGCTTGAAAGTGATATGTACCCGAGTCGGATCAAAGACTACATCTTTCGGTATTGAAGCCATAGGACTCATTCCTTCCTACTTCACGCCTGTATTTTTGATATGCAAACAGACACACATACATTTGCATATTCTACATGCAAGTGAGAATTTTTTCCTCACGCTCACTAAGCCATCTGAACTGATTGGGTCCCGTGATGTTGGTGTCCAAGTTTAAAACAGGCATCCTACAAACTTTAAGAAAATGCACGTTTGTGCGTGGCTGAAGCATCGTACGTGGCTTTTCTTCGGTAACAGCTCGTACAACTTCTTCGTCACGCTCACATTGCACTACCTTTAAGTCAACAATATACTTATTCAAACTTGAGAAATGTCCAGTCATCGGAGTTTAAATCCTTTTGAGAGGGGTTTGATTATTGATACTTGACTGAAGAATTAATGTATCGACGATTCCAGTTAGGTCGTAGAGTGTAGCATGCTTTGCAAAGAGTACTACGAAGAAACTGTTGGCTTCTGAGATAAAACAGGTTGGCAGTCGTATAACAAGAAATCGGATAAGCCCCGATTACATGTACATGTAGATATACGTACATATCGATATACGTGTTTTATGTATACATACATGTATCAAGGAAGTAACAAAAATGATATTGATATTACATGTACATGTATTTGATATACACGAGCTATATGGTTGTTAAAATTAACGTTATGCATGGAAATGATACAGAATGCATATAATATTTATAGCGTTCATCTCTAAACAACAAATAACAAAAGTTTCATTGTTAGGTTCTTTTGAATTGTCTTTTAAACCCATTGCCAAATCCACATTCATACAGTTCAACAACAGGTATTGAAAGCTTTATCCGTCAATGTAATGCATGTGCAAAAACAAATCCCAAAGAACATTGGCAAAATATATACAGTACATGTATATATTGTGCATCTATGCAACAAGATACAAATAAAAAATACCAGCATTAAACTAAAGAAAATTTAACTACAGTAAATGAATTGCGCATTAGATGGATAGCAATTGTTGACATCATTTTTCCAGCAATTGCCTAATTTTTCTTCTTTATTAAGGATTAGAATTCATCTTTGAGTTCACTTTATCATTATAAAAAGAAACGAGATCTATATGTGTGAAAGTGATTGTGTTGAAAGAAGAGTCTTACTTTCATTGTGCGTTTAAAAGAAGCTTCTATTGTGAAACCTTTTATGTAACGAGAAGTGTCTTTGACTATTCATGAATGTAAATTCGATTATGATATTTTCTAATTTAGATCTCTATTGTGCGTTATCATTTTTGCTATGTGAGTTCTATGAAGATATCAATATGATGTTGTGCTTTCATTTTATGTGCATGTATAGGGTTGTTAATGGAGCGGCGTGGCGCGGAGTGAGTGAACTGGGTTCATATTATAGTGGAGCAAGGGGTCAATTAAATTGAAACCACTCCAGGTTCATCGTTGCTCCAATACTGCGCCAGCTACTCCGAAGTATTTATAAAAGTCACAAGTAATGAATTTGATTGGATAAAAGCTATATATAAATACTTTTATTAATAAACAAGTTTCATACTGTATTTCAAAAATAAAAATTATAATTTTATGATTCTAAAAAAACAAACTTCATACTCGTGTTTCAAAATAAAAAATTAGGAAACAATAATCATGAATTTATTTACTCATGTCCACTTGGTCCTACAATTGTTGTCTTTTTCTCTTTGTCATAACGAAACTAACACTAATAATATCCAAATACTATATTTTGAATCTGTTTTACTAACTTGGAGAATCAGTGATTTCGCGTCAGAAATATTCTAAATCACCAGAATAATTCATTTGACTTGACAAAAAACGAATTTATTTTTTAATCACAAAGCTATTTCATTGGCTATTTTTTAAAATAGATCTTCATTCTCGCTCCGGGTTACCGTAAAACGCTCTGTATCGGTATAGTACCCCCCCCCCCTTGTAAAGGACTTTCCGGTTTATGCACGGATATTTTTATGGTGCGTATTTTTATTTATAGATTTGTATCATCTATGTACGTACATGTGCATGTCTTAACGTTAGAAATAACAATCTCATCAGATATTCCACAATATTTAAATGAACGTTTACTTACCATTAACTGCCACTATGTTAAACTATTTTTTTATTGCGATTTTTAAGATGAAATAGTAGAACAAGGAGAAACTATGGACAAAATTGACCGTATAATATTTCCAACTGATGTAAGAACTGTAAGAGATGTGTTACAACTCTCGCACAATTTCAATAGTAATATTGTTATTTTCCACTTGTTGTTACCGAAAATAATACTGCCATGACAAATGAAACGACTTGAGTTTCATCAATTGCTACAATTAATGATATTAACAATAATATTATTGACAATAATATTACAAGAGCAAGAGTAGGTTTGACTATATCGATATACCAAAAATTAATTGTACGATAATACAATATATTGGCCGAAAAAACTATATTGCGTATCGGTACTATCACTATCGCTAAGCAATAAAAGAATAGATGTAGTTAGAACTCTATGCATTACATATATTATCGTTATGAAATATGATTGATTACTGCTACTTTAAGTGACAAAAAATAAACAAACAAAACTTTTGACTATTAGTAAAAGACCTCTTTAGAGATAAGGAGCAACTAAAAAGTTATGCTGTGCTGTGAAAAAAGAAATAAAGCCGTTTGTCAATGGTAAGCTAAAAAAAAGTATGTGCGTCAGCTGCGCATTTCAAATCTTTACAAAAGAAAAGAAAAAAACACACGTCTAAAATTAGATTCGTCGAAATATTCTACCATGTACGCATAATGTATATTTCTATGTTATTTGTTGTGACTTTATAAAAGCATAATCTATGACACTCTAACGCTAAAAGATTTATTGATAGCGCTAGCGCTAGTGATAAAATTTTAGTAGCGGTAGATCCTGGAGTTTGTATACCGATAATTGTTCAAGTACGTACGTATCAATATGCTCTTGAAACGTTTCACCGTAGTATCGGTATGATCTGACGAATAATAATCAAATACTGATATCAATTGTGATCGCACTACATGTACGTATTTGCGTTCAAGAATGATAGAGTAATCAATAATGTTGATACGTATTTAGTGAAATAGAAAAAAGCGTTGAAATAAACAATATCGATATTAATACGAAGGAAAAATTATCACTATTGTCCGTACATAAACTGAAAACCCACAAATTGAAACAACTAATATAATTGTCCATAACGATAATAGCGATAATAACATGATGGTGGTGATAGACAGTATTTTTCCTTCAATTACAATAAATTCAATCGAAATATTTGCAAATATCTGTAGATTCCTATCACCCACAGATCTTTATTCGTTAAGTTTAACATGCCGACATCTTAACGAAATCCTTACATCAACAATCGATTCGGTGACTCAACAAATTTGGGAAGCTTCAAGAATAGAGTTTTGTGAATTTCTTCAAATGCCTCCACCAGTTGGAATGTCGGAACAAGATTATCAAGAGTTGATAAAAGGCGATGGATGTCAACTTTGTGATGATGAAAATGGTTACAGAGTAAAAATTTATTGGAATGCGAGAATACGGTGTTGTTTTGATTGTTTGCGGAAAAATATCATAAGGTAATAGTTTTAATTGTTGACGAATCTTTTATATACGAAATCTAAATGTTTTATCTGCTTTTTTTAAGTGAGGCCACTCTTCGAGATACTTGGGATATTCCAGAAGATTTGATTAATATCCTCGTCCCACTTACGCCACAAGACATCTTCAAGGATGGAATACGATATTATTGGGCTCACTCAATTAGCGATTATATTCAAGATTATATTACACTCGAGAAAAAGGACAAAGAAAATTGGTTGACGAATAAAAAACCCGAATTAGAGAACGCTATTCATGACACAATCGAACGGGAGTATTGGGATCATTGTCGATTGCTAAAAAAACAATCATTGCGTATTCCTAAAGAGAGTATTCCTTTTTTTGAGTTTTCTAATTTCGAGCTGGCATCTGATGAAGATGAACAACAGCAAACAGAGTTTTATACCCCTTCTTTTGCCGACTTTGTCGCTTTTCTCGAAATTCTTCGAATCTTTCGTCGGCAAATTAGAATTTATGTAAAATCTCGTGAGCTTACCCAAGAAGAAAGTGATGAATCAACGAAAACAACATCATCCACATCTTCATCGTTGTCATCTTCATTTCTCCCAATTTATTACGCTTATCAAACCAGAGCAAGGAAACGCCAACTAGAAAGTCAATTAAGCATACCGATAGTAGTCATAACCGCTGAAGAGCAACAAAAATGTGAAAATTTACCAATAAAGAAAAGAGTAAAGACCGAAAGTGACAATGAAAAAGAAAATCGATTTGAATCAATGCGAGCAAGAGGAAGTGGATATTCTTTGAGATCAAGTCCAAAGAAAAAACAATTTGATGATTGAACATTTTTAATACATGTAAAAGATATTTGCCATTGCAGATAAACATATAGAGCTTAATTTGCTTATCGTTATTTATATGCTTATATGTTTCTTATTTTCTAAATATCTCCTAATGAAAGTTATCGCGGAAATTTAAGATGCATTTAACTTGGTTAGATTCCTTTTTTTATTTTATACTTGATTAAACATTGAAAGCAAAAATCTACTTTCCATTAAAAGAGTTGGTAATAGCTTATCGTTATTTTGTTAGTCGAAACCCCGGTTTCGGCGGTTCTATTATTAACGTTAAGAATTTAATAGATTCGATACTGACTGATGCATTTTTTAATATAGCTGACAAGTTATTAATAAAATTTGAATATAGTTTCGATAGCTTTTTGCCAGGCAACTTTAAATTTGATTCGATAGACACATCATCAAAAGAGAATCCAACGGATAATCGTTCAAGTGAAGACGAAGTTTTATAAGACAATTCAAGGATAATCGTTCATCATCATCATGTGAAGAAGTTTTATAAGACAATTCATAAAAGTTGTCGCTATCTCCTGTCCCTAAGTCTATGTCGAAAGAACTCGGAGTAGAACTGGGTGGTGGTGATGGAGGAGATGATGGTTCTAATGATAATTCACAAAGATCGCATAGAAATTGAGGATTTTCATTCCAACACCATTTCGCGAAATAATACAATAATCTATGGCAGTTTACAGTAAATTCTGGTCTTTCACCATCGATAATTGCAAGATACTTGCAACAATTATACGTGTAATCCGAAAACGGACCTTGCCCATGAATTATTTCCCAAATTAATATTCCGATTGCATAAATATCACTTGCTTTCGTTCGTCTTCCATGTTGTAAAACTTCGGGTGCTGTATATGCCAGAACTCCGTAGCCGCATTCTTTTTTATCTATAGAGTTTTCCGGCCGCGTTAACCCAAGATCGCAAATATTAGCTTTTTTTGCTTTCGAGTTTATTAATATGTTTCCACTATGAATGTCTTTATGTACTAGCCCATTTCTGTGTATTATTCTTAAATCATTTAAAATGTCGCGTAATATTTCAAGTTAGTCAGTAAGTGTCATTGTTTTCCATTCTCGTTGTAGGTATTCGCGTAAATTGCCATGTTCTGCGTATTCAAACACCATCAAATAGTCGTTAGAACGCTTAGTTATTCCATAGAATGACAGGAAATTTGATAAATTCATCAATCGATGTGTTTCCGCTCGTCCAATTTTTAAAGTTTTTCACCAGTCTAGGAGGATCACATGATATACACCATTCATTTTTATGCAATTTTATTTTTCTGGCTTGTTTCAAATTTACCATTTAGACTGGTTTCTTTAACAATGCAAATACACCAATTGTTGAAATGTACGTGTGTGGAGGAAAACAGTAGAATTGAAAAAATGTGTGCTGCTTTTTTTACAAGAAACATTATTTTCGGAAGCCACAGATATAAACGTAAATTCGGACCACAGCATTATCATACCGTTACATTCTATAGCGGTATCGGTATTGATTTCTTTTACGTACGTAATTCTAATATTAATGCACGCAATAATTACACGCATCTTTAAAGCAAAATTTTAGAGAAATTTCTCGGGCTATAGCGGTTCTTATCGTTATGTAATTGAGTGTTTCACAAAAAGTTTAACATTCATCAACTTCCATTTTTGTTACATGTAATCCGAATTCTCATAAATTTCTTTTATGGCTATTAAAATATCCGATAAAGCGGCTTTTGCGATTTATTTTTTCTAGGAATTTCTTTATGAAGAACTCCAAACCAATGAAACATGGATGACATGTAAGAGTATCAATAAACAAAAGAAATTGGGTTTCAAGCCATATGTTCGATGTTAATATTCATCCGGAGTAAAAGCACAAATAAGCACAACACCAATGATGCTCAAACTGCTGTGACTTTTGATTACGAGAATGCGCCAAGTATCTTTACGTATTAATAGGGGCGATAGTTACAAGCAATTTCTCCTCTCCTAATTCAGTCAGCGCAAAGTTGGATGCTCTTACAAATCAGCTCATGTATCGCTAAGATAATTGCTTCTATATTTTGGATGCGTATTTACCTCGTATTAAAATAAATTTATTCGCTATCATAAATAAAATAAGATTTGCAAAAATTTAAGGAAATTCTTTTTTAGAGAATTTCGTGTTGCTACAGTCGCCACAGAAAGTAACGCCAGATTTTTTTTTTTAGATATATATTCGATTTATTTCATTTTTGCTTTATTATACATAAAATTTTTTTTATCATTAACTAATACATTACTCACCCTCTATATGACTTCAAATCACCTCGATTCCTTACGGCATCGAGCTCACAACCTTCTCCAAACTAACACATTAAACTTTGACTACATTTCCTTTAGAGTAGTCTTAAGCTTGTTCACAGTTTCGAAAAGCTTTTACACTTTAGAATATTGTTTCTACAATGGTTTCTATGAAGCCAGGTCTGGGAGAATACGTTAATTGGTTCATTATCATTAATATTCTATTGAACCTATTTCGTGATTTTTTATAATTAGGGCGTGTTTAGAGCGAAGCTGAAACGCCATATTTTTTCAAATTAATGAGCATAATATATTATGAAAAAGGATGATATTACCTTAAAGAATCTTTGGTTTAAATTTTTACAAAGATTTTTTGTTGACAATGTCACAAAATGGCTTTGATTATCTTTTTGGTTTTTTATAAATGTGCATTTTTTTTATTGCTTGTGACCTCACAGACCTGGTAAATTTTCTTTTTTCCTATTTCTCTTGTATTCGGCAAGAGACCA